AGACGGGGGGGGGGGGGCGGGGGGGGGGGAATACTTTATTGGACGGTGTGTAGCGGGGAGCAGGAGCACCCCGTGAAACAGCAGCTGAGGAAGGGGAAGGCGGGAGCTCTCTGGGCAGCCCCGGGGAGGGAAGAGCCCCACCGGCGCCCTGAGGCGAGGACAAACCGGACGGCTCCGGACACTGCCTTAAACACCTCGGAGGACCCGGCAGGAGAGAAGAGACCCACTAAAGAGCGGTCAACACACACCCCTTCCCCTCCCCGCCAGCCGTTCTCGCCGGTGGGGCCGCGGCTCCCTCACAGCCGGGGCAGGCCCCGGCCCGCCCCCCGCAGCCAGGCCCCTCACAGCGGACACGGGGCGGCGCTCACCGGCCATGCTGTCGGTCTGCGTGCTCGCCGCGCTCACCCGCGGCCCCCCCGCCGCCACCGCCTCCTCTGCGCCGTGCATGGGTGCCAGTGCCAGTCCCGGTGCCGGTGGCGGTGCCGGTGGCAGTGCCGCCCGGTGCCCCCTCCGCCCCGCCCCCCATGGCGGACCCGCCCCCATGGCGGCCCCGTTCCGCCCTCAGGGCGTCGCCGCGGCCGGGGCGTCGGCATGGCAACCGCCGCTGACGGGCGGGAGCCTCGACCAATAGGAAGCGGGAGTGGAAGGAGAGGGTGGGTCTTGCCGTGACGGGGCGGGCTGGCGGCTGTGAGGGGCGGTGAGGGCTCCCGGCGGGAGGCGGCGGCCTCCGGCGTCCGTAGCGGGATTTTAACGTTGAAATACCTCCATCGCCTCGCTCTCCACGCCGGGGTTTTAGCCTTTGGGGGGTCGGAGAGCCTTGGTGGTGGCTGTCGAGCCTCAGCGTCCTGCACCGCCCGCCGGCCCGGCCCGGCCCCTCGTCCCCGGCCTGGCCTCAGGTGGCCCGCCAGGGGAAGATCCAAGCCCGCGGGCAAAAAGAGCCATCCGAGGGGCAACCTGGTTGGGACCGGGCCAGCATCCGCTCCCCGGCACGGAAGATGCTTCTGCCGCCGGTTTGCCAAGCAGGTGGCTTGTGGCGTGAGGTTTTCTGCGCGTTGGGAGCGTCTCTCTCAATGTTTTGCTGGTTTTAACGGCCTCGGTTAAGCGTGTAGAAACCCCGGGTTCTTTTCTGTCGTCGCTGCAGTGCAGCCGTTCCTCAAGTGAGATGTTACACCGGCAAAGCCCGTCCTGTCACCCGCACCACTTGCTTCCCCTGGGGACAGGGTACAGCTTCCCCCGGTGGCTTTGTTGATAGAAACTGTGTCTTTCCAGTGTGGATTTGCTATATTATGATTAAACCTGTGGAGGAAAACAAGCAAGGCCTTGTCTGTATAGAGCAAGCTGTGAAAATGGATCTTCAGCTTCTAACATATGTGTTGTGGCTGCTTTGACTAGCTGATGGCAGCCAGTAGAGATACCAAAACTCCTCATCATTTATGAATTGATACTCAGTCTCTGGAAGACTGGCATTGGGGTTGCTACTTTGACTGCCTAAGGCCATAGAGAGGCAAATGTTGGAACAAGAGCAGAAAAGGGTTGGGGTTTTTTCTTGGCTTTTTCTATATCTTTGTTACTGTTTTTTTTTGGTTTTTGTTTGTGTGTTGTTTTTTTTTAGCAGTCTTTGCCTTGATTTGAGTCAATAATTAAAGGTGTATTTACTTCTTGACTATCTTTGGGCTCCTGAAAGGTAAGCTAGTTTGATGGGATTTGACAGCCTCTGTTCCTGGGCTAACAGGGTAATAGATACTCATTTAGAGTATACCCAGACTCTATATTTAATATTTTTTCTTATAATTAACTGGATAACGCTTACTGATTACAAAAGGGCTGTAGTATGCAATAGCTTCAAGATTTTGAAACTTAACACAAGGGAGTTACTTTGTCCCAAAGCTGTGTACATTTATAAAGAACAATAAATGGTTTGTGGAAGAAATGTGTTATGTCCTTGAAAGTAGTTGAGGTATCAGTTGAAGGTACATGAAGCCTTGTGGTCCCAGAAGGGCTGTGGGTGGAGTCTGGAGTGAAGAAAAGGAGTAGGAGAATCAACTGTATGTTGCAGTCATTAAAAATAAATACCCAAATCCTTTTCCAGGAAGTAATTCTCCAAGAGCAGGCTTTCAGAAAGAACCCAGTGCCCACAGAAGGACACTCAGACTTTTTGCTTGGTTTTGTGGGTCAAATCTTTACAAGGCTGTGCAGAGATGAAGAACAGACAAGGTGCTAGCAGGTAAATCTGCTGCACAGCTGAGGTGATATTAACGTCCCCTAATTAGGTTGCTACTTGAGTTCCCTCCTTCTCTGGTAAGACGGATTCAAGGGCAGAAAGTTTTATTGTTCGGAGGAAGATCTGAAAATACAGCTGGAGTTGCCCTTGCCCTCACAGCCGGGGCAGGCCCCGGCCCGCCCCCCGCAGCCAGGCCCCTCACAGCGGACACGGGGCGGCGCTCACCGGCCATGCTGTCGGTCTGCGTGCTCGCCGCGCTCCCCCGCGGCCCCCCCGCCGCCACCGCCTCCTCTGCGCCGTGCATGGGTGCCAGTGCCAGTCCCGGTGCCGGTGGCGGTGCCGGTGGCAGTGCCGCCCGGTGCCCCCTCCGCCCCGCCCCCCATGGCGGACCCGCCCCCATGGCGGCCCCGTTCCGCCCTCAGGGCGTCGCCGCGGCCGGGGCGTCGGCATGGCAACCGCCGCTGACGGGCGGGAGCCTCGACCAATAGGAAGCGGGAGTGGAAGGAGAGGGTGGGTCTTGCCGTGACGGGGCGGGCTGGCGGCTGTGAGGGGCGGTGAGGGCTCCCGGCGGGAGGCGGCGGCCTCCGGCGTCCGTAGCGGGATTTTAACGTTGAAATACCTCCATCGCCTCGCTCTCCACGCCGGGGTTTTAGCCTTTGGGGGGTCGGAGGGCCTTGGTGGTGGCTGTCGAGCCTCAGCGTCCTGCACCGCCCGCCGGCCCGGCCCGGCCCCTCGTCCCCGGCCTGGCCTCAGGTGGCCCGCCAGGGGAAGATCCAAGCCCGCGGGCAAAAAGAGCCATCCGAGGGGCAACCTGGTTGGGACCGGGCCAGCATCCGCTCCCCGGCACGGAAGATGCTTCTGCCGCCGGTTTGCCAAGCAGGTGGCTTGTGGCGTGAGGTTTTCTGCGCGTTGGGAGCGTCTCTCTCAATGTTTTGCTGGTTTTAACGGCCTCGGTTAAGCGTGTAGAAACCCCGGGTTCTTTTCTGTCGTCGCTGCAGTGCAGCCGTTCCTCAAGTGAGATGTTACACCGGCAAAGCCCGTCCTGTCACCCGCACCACTTGCTTCCCCTGGGGACAGGGTACAGCTTCCCCCGGTGGCTTTGTTGATAGAAACTGTGTCTTTCCAGTGTGGATTTGCTATATTATGATTAAACCTGTGGAGGAAAACAAGCAAGGCCTTGTCTGTATAGAGCAAGCTGTGAAAATGGATCTTCAGCTTCTAACATATGTGTTGTGGCTGCTTTGACTAGCTGATGGCAGCCAGTAGAGATACCAAAACTCCTCATCATTTATGAATTGATACTCAGTCTCTGGAAGACTGGCATTGGGGTTGCTACTTTGACTGCCTAAGGCCATAGAGAGGCAAATGTTGGAACAAGAGCAGTCCATAGAGAGGCAAATGTTGGAACAAGAGCAGAAAAGGGTTGGGGTTTTTTCTTGGCTTTTTCTATATCTTTGTTACTGTTTTTTTTTGGTTTTTGTTTGTGTGTTGTTTTTTTTTAGCAGTCTTTGCCTTGATTTGAGTCAATAATTAAAGGTGTATTTACTTCTTGACTATCTTTGGGCTCCTGAAAGGTAAGCTAGTTTGATGGGATTTGACAGCCTCTGTTCCTGGGCTAACAGGGTAATAGATACTCATTTAGAGTATACCCAGACTCTATATTTAATATTTTTTCTTATAATTAACTGGATAACGCTTACTGATTACAAAAGGGCTGTAGTATGCAATAGCTTCAAGATTTTGAAACTTAACACAAGGGAGTTACTTTGTCCCAAAGCTGTGTACATTTATAAAGAACAATAAATGGTTTGTGGAAGAAATGTGTTATGTCCTTGAAAGTAGTTGAGGTATCAGTTGAAGGTACATGAAGCCTTGTGGTCCCAGAAGGGCTGTGGGTGGAGTCTGGAGTGAAGAAAAGGAGTAGGAGAATCAACTGTATGTTGCAGTCATTAAAAATAAATACCCAAATCCTTTTCCAGGAAGTAATTCTCCAAGAGCAGGCTTTCAGAAAGAACCCAGTGCCCACAGAAGGACACTCAGACTTTTTGCTTGGTTTTGTGGGTCAAATCTTTACAAGGCTGTGCAGAGATGAAGAACAGACAAGGTGCTAGCAGGTAAATCTGCTGCACAGCTGAGGTGATATTAACGTCCCCTAATTAGGTTGCTACTTGAGTTCCCTCCTTCTCTGGTAAGACGGATTCAAGGGCAGAAAGTTTTATTGTTCGGAGGAAGATCTGAAAATACAGCTGGAGTTGCCCTTGTGACATGTCCAGGAGCATTAGATTGGGATGTGTTTGATGGAGCTCCTTAAGTAGCCGGGCCTCAATGGAGAGGCAGCATCACCCTGTCTGGGAATTGCTGATCTCAAAGCTTGGGCTACTTGCCAGGGAAACAGTGCAGCAAAAGTATGCTTGTGAAAGTCATCTCTCCCTGAACATTACGGCTGTGGGTGTTTGTGCAAGTGCTGCATTTAATATATTTTAACTTCTTTGCACTTTACTCAGATGTGGTTCAATTGTATGCGTATTTTACCCTGTGAAGAGGATTTGGTATTTGCATACTGCTATGGGAGTGTAAGAGAAGCAGGAAGAAGCCCAAGAGTGAAATACCACTTCGTGCCTAAGCCAAATTAACGATTTGCCTGCTGCGTCATCTCCCCACGCCGAGGAACTGCTGTAAAACTGTGATGCTTGGGGTCATGTTGGCGCTCTCAACAGCTGCCTAACTGGGAAACAATTTTGGCTGTCTCATGTGGTGGCCAAGAGTATATAGTTTTAGAGTTCAGTGGTGTTTACTCTTACAGGAGATTGCAGGTACCTGCCCGGACAGGTCAGTGAGGCTGGAAGGGGGTCCCAGAAAGTTCTTTTCCATAACAGGCAGCTCAGCTGCAAACAGTGCAGCTGGAGCAAGACCCAGAGCCTCTGCTACTCTCCTTTGCTTTCTGGTGTTAGGAGGGATTCGGCGTTTGTGCTCTGGCAGTTTATTCAGCTTTCACCATAGGCATCTAGAGGGATTGTGTTGCTACTAACCTTGGCTGAACTTCACGGTCTGTATAAACCAAGGCATCTGCCCATGACCTATGGGTGTTTTGACCAGAGTCTTTGTGGTGGAGTGTTTAATGTCTCTGCCACTTTTTCTAAATACCGGGGTATGTAAAAGCTGCTCTGTGGCTAAATTTTCAGACATAAATCCATAAAGTGTTGTCAGGAATAAAAAAAAAACTGAAATAATTATTCAGAGCCAAGTGACTATAAAATTCCATCTTGAAGAGTTTC